GTCTCTGTGTTAAGACACTATGTGCCAGAAAAGGTTATATGCCACGAGATAATATTCGCGCACGCATTACGACGATAAGCTGTTATCATCGCCTGATTGAGTTGAGCCCGTATACAAACACTGGCGCCTGCATTTTGCAATCTATTGTGAAAAAGAAGCTTCCAGGAAAATAAGTCACGTAGGCTTCAAGTGCAAGGCAGATATAACAACCTTGAAGTTAACGATGACCTAACAAACAACATTAAAGGGGCACTAAAATTAAACAATGAAGTGGTTTAAATTGATAAAGCGTTTTCTTATAATTTCGTTAATATTATCGAAACAGGTTCACTGAGAGCGGAAAATCAAGCTCAAAGTACCATTTAAAAATTTTCCGCTGAAATCTGTCTACGTGACGTCACGATTTGATCGTAATTTACAGGCATTGACTTGACGAAACATCGGCCACATCAGCAGACATTGTGCTTCATTTTTACCTACTTTATAGGCCTTAGCAAACACCGTCAAATTTATAGCGTCACTGTGTTCGGTGCAGGAATTTCGAGAAGGTGTCGCCACCCGCAATTTTTTGTTTTTGCGCGCGTTTTCTCTTTTACCAAACATCTTTTCGCGGCGAGCATGGTGATTTTTGAATTTTTAAAGGGCATTACCGAAAAATAATGGGGGACCCTTCATTAAGCTTCGCATTTAAGAGTTGAACGCGATAGCAAAATCCGGCCCCTAGTCCACCCTTCAACCGCTAAGTGCATGCTCGTTATATGTTTAGTTTCATACATACGCACACAGTAGATTAAACCACCGCGCGCTATTATCGCCGAATTGGCTCGTTTTCGTCGTAACACCTGTCTACAACATGCGTCGAAGTGGTCATTAAACACTTTTTCAAGTAACTATGGAATGAATTCACCAGCAGAGCTTATTGCCTTACGAATTCAACGCTGCCAAAAATTTAAGAATCCGTCCAGTGCTAGTGGAGTTAAAAAGGTTTGTCGCATGCTGCAATTGCATTATCTCTTCTTTCATTCCGACGAAAGCGCTGGAAGCCAAGCAGGAAGGGGTGACAGGGCAAAAAAAAAAAAAACCTACCTAGACTCATAACCTTGAGCACTTTTTTTTTTCCTTCGAATGCGCGAGTTTTTCAGTGTGATCGCGCTCTCCCTTCTCCCAGCGCCCAACCGTTCGCTGGCTGGGCACCTCTCAAGAGCATCCGGTAATGTGTGCTCGATACGCCGCTGTAAAACGCCGAGCCGAGAACGCTGGCGCCCCACTCTCCCGTATGCTTGCTCCTCACTCTCGACCGTTCGCTGGCTGGGCTCCTTTCAAGGCGACGACAGAAGTCGGTGTAGGCGAGTGTCAGAACTTCAATGTCTGACGGCAACGGCACGCTCTCTCGGCGCAAGAAATGCATTTGCATTTCCTCACGATTCCCTTTGAAGAGGTGGGGGTATTTTTTTTGTCGTGCCGACTTAGAAATCAAGTAGCTTTGATCTGTTAGAGTAAACTCTGGGCTAATCATAAATAATTATGACTGTTTTCGACGACATAAAAAGTAGCGACGAGTATCGGTGACTTATTTACTAAAACTTGCCTAGCATTCAAGGCTTACTGAAGAAAGCTAGTAAAAAAATCGCACTTCGAGCACCAACTCGTTGAGCGCGCAGGGAAAACTCTTCGTTTCAATCTCCGAACGCTTACGCTTATCGACTTTATCATGTTCATAGTAAGATAGCGGCCGCAGCCGCCATCATTTGGTGGGTACGACTCCACTACAGGAAAACAATTTGCACTGCAGCGATTTTTTCTTAAATGTCCTCCGTGGTGTGCCCACGTCTTGAATTGAAAGGCAATGTAGCCTTTTGCAGCTCTGCGCCGGCGCGCGAGTGCTTGTATTGTCAATACGTCTTGAGTACACCTTATGGCGCCTGCGAAAGACTTGAACACTTTGTAGTCGAGTTCCCCGCATTCGGTAACGCAGCGGGTCGGGTCATCGCTGGTTAAGGAATATTGAGCGACCAGACACAAGTGTGCTACCCTTGATGATTACTTCTTCGCGAGAGGGAGTGCAGCTAGGCGCACTATGGCTCGGCGTGAGCTGACCCATCGAGCCGTGCTGACTTTTGTAAACGAAACGGACTTGGCTACCCGTCTATAGACGTTTTTTCGTGTTCTTCCTTATTTTCGTCCAAGCCTTTCTTATTTATTTCTTTGCTTTCTTGTATTCTTTCCCATTTTCTTCCCATTCCATTCCTTTCGTCTACCTTTTTCCTCTTCTTGAAAGGGTATAGTCGGGCGTTCTGCTCCAGTGGGCGGCAATTTTCATGACGATAGTTATAGCGCTAGAACAAAACGACGACACAGAGACAAGAAGGACACGAAAGACACGAGCGCTCGTGTCTTTCGTGTCCTTCTTGTCTCTGTGTCGTCGTTTTGTTCTCGCGCTATAACTATCGTCATGCCATACCAACTAGCCCAAGCTGCCACACTTCTAAGGCAATTTTCAGTTTGGTCCTTTCCTTCTTTCCTCTGCATCCTCGTGTATTTGTGTATGTGTGTATTTGCGTGCGCATATCACACAAAACCCACAGAATCTGTTGCGGACTTGCATAAAATGACTTGAAGGGGAAAGCCGTGTTTTTCTTTCTCAGTTGATGTATTGTTCCTTCCCCACCCCGCCCCCCCTCCTGGAGCTTTCTGCATATCAGGTGGTTTTGTACTGCCCCTACGATCGGAGGCATAGCAATATTTCTGCAACTGACATTTTTTTTTCATTCAGTTCATTTCTTTATTGCTCACAAGAAGATATGTACATCAGTTTTGTTATAAACGCAGGGCCCCATAACTCGCAGAGGAGTTGTGAAGGGGCCCCTTATGTCGTATCCAGTTATACAAACACTAGAGCGCGCAAGAAATTAGTATGACGACGTTAGAATGGGGGTGTAGAATTCAAACAAGTGAAGAGAGCATAAACCAATGTTGGTTAATTTTAAAACAGGCAAACGACTGGCGTTCTGTGAGGTCCGTCGGTAGTTTGCTCCAAAGATGTGATGTGGTATGTACATTTATAGAGACTTTCGTGTGCGTCCTACCCCACACGGCGCAGTGCATTCAGTGACTTAATATGGTATACCGTAGTCACCTCTCATCACGCCTCTCCTCTTCCCTCCCTTTCCCCCTTGAGGAGTTGCAGGCTAGAAATCTGCTTCCCAGGTCGACCTCTCCCCCTTCTTCTCATTAAACATCTTCTTCTGACATTAATTTGCGCTGCCTCCTTGATCTGTCTACCTTTTACGAAGCGATGCTGTCGTGTGATGGCGCCACAACAAGACGTCACCGTGACGTCAAGATGACGACACAAATTTGGTGATATGGGACGTCACGAGTCCCTCATATGATAATTACGTCCTGGCGTGATGATTTTTCGCAACACTATAGTTTACCCCACCGACGCCAACGGTAGATTTTCCTGTTTGATGAGCCACCAAAAACTTTAGCTGTGCAATAATTTGGCTGCAGTAGGTTTCAAATTACTGCTGAAGCTACAATGCCACTCACTTCCGCCACGTTCGCAAGAAAAAAGAAAAACAAAGGGTGAAGAAGGAGGGAAAGAATGTTCAGCAGACCGGTTCAAAGTCTTCGACGATCATTACGGACCATTCACACAGGAACTATGCAATCGCCTCGGACGACGATACGGCAGCGCTCATAATGGATCGCGGCCGGTCGAGATGAAGCTCGATAAGCCGTTATCAACAGTTCATACAATAGCGAAGTGCGCAGATAATGCGACGATAATGTAGATGACGCCTGCTGCGGGCTAACCTTGTTATCGAACGCGTCCTTTATAAGAGCGAGGGCGCGCCACGCACTCATCAGCGCTACAAGGAGTGAGCTGTGCATAATTCCGCTCTATAGACTAAGATCCGCTCCATTCGTGCTCGCGTAACCACACAAGGCTAGGAAGATGAGCAAGTTGGCGACCGGCGCTTTCCTGCTTCTTGTCGTTGCGGCAGTGTCGTCAGCGTTCGGTGGCGACATGGGACAGGTCCCCGTGGGTCCGGTTGCAAAGGCAAGTGAACTTTTGATCGCTGCTTAATCTGATGTCTTGGCTAGCTGATCCTTTGGCTTTGAACGTACTTGTGACCTTGTTTAGTGTTGTGTTTTGGCTTTTGTTTCGGATAAAGGAATGACTCTGTGTCAGCCCGGGGGACTGATCTGAATTGATCAGCCCAGAAAGGTCAAGGTAACGAAGTAAGTCTGCTGAACTTTGGCTGAAGTTCATCTTGTAACGAAGCAGCGGCAAGGCACTTGGAGCTACAAGCAGCCGAAAAAAAAGAAGCTTAGGTTCAGGCTTACTACCCAACATTTTCATGCTGGCTGAAGCGTCATGCGTTGTACCTCCCACACAGACTCTGGAGCCAGATTTTCCTTTAGGGCACTCTTATTAAACTCTATGGGTCTAGTACCCTCTTCCGCCCACTATAGGTGTAATACGGCTAAAGCAGGGTACTTTAGTACTTCATTATTTATTTTTAGTCTAGTTATTAGTATTAGTACAGTTATTACTGAACTGAACAGTGCTTAACCGTTTCTTATCGCAGGCCACATATAATTTTTGTCGTGAAATGAATTTTTTCGCAGCTGCAGGTTTGGTTTTTGCGCACCCCCGACTTATTTATTTGTTGTTGTTGTTGTTGTTGTTTTCGCTGCATCTTTACCGAGCGGGCTTGGAACTTCACGGCGTGTCGTGCCTCTCTGGTAGCCGAGGGGGGAGCCGATATCACCTATCCGACGGAAAACTCGTTCGGAGTTGTGTATGTTTGTTGCTGCCGGGGAAGTCCTCAGTGCTTTCCGGCACACGTTGCCCCTCTTGGTTCGCGTTGTGCGGAAAGGGCGCGTGCGATACAATGCCGTATACAAGCAGCCGGTGTGGAGGAGAAGGGTTTCTTTCAGTTGAACACCGGTAGGGCGACTTATCGCTCGACTCGTCGAGTGGAACGGCGGACATTGGCAGACGACCCGTCGAAGGCGCGCACATGTACGCACTTTCTTTCTATAGACGCGGTTAAGAAACGTAATTACATTTTAAAGGAAAGAATACACTGCTTTCGGCGTCACGTAACTGCACAGGCGAGTCACATGAACGCGGCAGCGACTTCCGCGTTCCTGCTTCTTGCAGCTGTCCTGGTATCGTCAGAATTCATCGGACAGGTAGCTGTGGGGCCGCTCTCACAGGTGAGTGAAGTTTAACTCGCTGCTAAGGTTAAGGACCCCGGAAAATTTCGGCCATCGGTTGTTCTTTAACAGGCGCTGACAACACACATTCACGGGTTTCTTGCACGGCGGCAGGGTGCGGACCCTCGACTTCCTTGTCAGAAGCCGTGCGCTGTGACTACTGCAACACCGAGGCGGACAATTGATGTAACATTCCTGACTGATAAAACCCTGATAGTTTTTAAAATAAAAGAGGAGATAAAAATTAGGCGAGGCTCTGGCACCAATAACCAGCGGAGTTCGGGGGAAGCCTCAGTAAGGCTGTGGAAAGCTATGTCGAAGGCGTGGTTTAGCAAACCACGATCAAAGCTAAGCGTGTTTTCTTCTCTCATTCTAGATTTGTTCTCGCCTTGACACTCCATTGCTTTACAACGCTTACCCGCCCCGCCGCGGTGGTCTAGTGGCTAAGGTACTCGGCTGCTGACCCGCAGGTCGCGGGTTCGATTCCCGGCTGCGGCGGCTGCATTTCCGATGGAGGCGGAAATGTTGTAGGCCCGTGTACTCAGATTTGGGTGCACGTTAAAGAACCCCACGTGGTCGAAATTTCCGGAGTCCGCCACTACGGCGTCTCTCATAATCAAATGGTGGTTTTGGGACGTTAAACCCCACAAATCAACAATGCTTACCCTCACCCTTTCTCTCACCACCATTCTAACGCTATAATATATGCCTTAACTTTTCAATTTTCCTCACAATCCCTTGCCTTCTCATTCCATTGTTGGTTGGTTGGTTCCTCAACACCTTGGTCATTCCATTGTCATATGACTGTTTTCCTTACTCTCGTCGTCTTCCTTATCACTTCCCCTACGCTTTCTATACTATGATTTCGCCTCCGCAATACACTTGCCGTTTTCCCGACTTGAATAAGCTGCGAACATCACTGTGCACAGGTTAAGTTCGGCTTTAATTAAATGCTTCGCTATAAAATAGGGGCGCATGTCAGCATACACAGGAAAAAAAATCGCGTAGTTTTGACGGGCTACAACTTTAGCAAACATTATCATCACCAACGCTGCCTCAAATAACTCATAAAAAGGATTGACTTGTGCAGTCGTGTGCGCTGCAAGGGGGGCTTGTTAGTACGGCATATTCGCAAAATAACGGCACACAGCAAAAAAAAACAAAAAAAGACGTAAGAAGGGGACAAAGAACCCCACACAGCGCTACACATCCAACAAATGTTTTATTATGGGGCACCGCGTAGCTCTTACACACTTTTTGCGCATCGCTGCAACTATTACACTTGGAGGAGCGCAAGCAGTGGTTCAACGGTAATTTTTGAGCACGGCTGATCATACATGAAGAAATTGAACGTATCAGAGAAGGTACCAGAAAATCCGTTCACTTCAACCAGCAGATTTTGGGCAGGTGACTCTTTTCCTCGATTTACAAATACAGCTGGTGTAGTGTATACATGTCTGAGCAGACCGTCGATTACACTCGCGAGGAAGGAATGTCAATCCATGCGCATTGCCTGGCAGGCGAAAACTGTACCGGACTGTAATTTATATATCTACACTAACCTATATATAGTTTAATAATGTATAATAACCTATATAAATTATATATATATATATATATATATATATATATATATATATATATATATATATATATATATATATATATATATATATAACGTATGTAAAGAGGGCAGTGAATACGGAGCTCGAGTGGAGAAAGAAAGAGGAAGACGCTTTGTGTCAATCAGCCTATAACGGTCCTGTGCCTTAGCGGTACATTTAAGACTGAAAATCAAGATTACGCAATCTTCTTTCCCTCTTAGGCTGTTTCACGCTGTATACTGAATTGCCCGTATACGAGAAACTCTGCACCATTTCTCTTCATTTTAAGCCTTACATTCGCTGCGATCAAGCGTATACACTTTGCCGAGACTCATCGCCGCGGACATTATTGAAAATTATGGGAAAGACATGGTAAAGCTGGTGCTTGGCACTGCTTCATTTCAACGACTTTCATTTCAACGATTTCAACGACTTCGTAAAGCAGAAACGAAATGCGCCTTCCATCGCCGCTTACACGGAACAGCAAAAAAAAAAAAAAAAAAGAGCGAGTGAAGCCTGCCTGCTACGACCCACACCTTGAAAGGGAACTCTGGGCCGCGGCGCTGTCGTATACTTCATGGTCGACGCTCGCGCGAGCGATGAATCTTCAAATCGCGCTCGACTGCACAGTTTCCTTTTTTTTTATGAAAGGGAACACACGAGCGCGTGGATTGCGCTCTGCCGCGGCTGCTTACAGCACCACCAGCCGACAGACATAAACAAATCGCGTTCGCTTTTCGCGGCATCGTCCGTTCCGAAACGAAGCGAGAGCGCAATCTAGCAGCGCCTCTGACGACCATGACTGGTTATTTTGTTTGATAATAGATGACGCCAAAAACTTTCTTTGGTTGCAGGTTGATGGTGTAAGCTGCCGCGGCAGAGAGCAGGCCACGCGCTCGCGTGTTCCCTTTCATAAAAAAAAAGGACAGTGCACATACATCTTTTCCTGCTGAACATTACCGAAGGCAGAACAGTATCGACTACTTTCACAGCGCATTTTCTCTTTTTTTTTTTGCAACCAGAACATTGAGGAGGGAGGCTCCTGCCGATTCAGCATGGAGTGCCAATCCAAGTGCTGCTCCAAGGTGTTCCCCAGGGGCGACCAGGCCGGCAGTCCGAGGCAGTGCCGTCGCTTCGCTGAGATCGGCGAGTCGTGCAGCGATGAGCAGATCAAGGGAGGCATCTACGTGAACGGTTGTCCCTGCCGTGTTGGTGAGCGGGATGGGCAATTAGTAAATCTTTCATGGCCGAATCGATTATAGATCGTATAGCTATACGAGAAGTGAATCGGAACAATGTGCTAATCGAATGCCATTATTATTAGACGATATATGTTTGGATTCGTGTATATTCTATCCTGAACGCTTGATATCTTGTGTCGAACCGGTTATAGAATTGGTCACGAATGGTTCAGAATAGCTGTCTTCACAGGCGCGCGCGCAAGGAAGTGCGAGTGAGGGTGTTGTTCGGCAATTTTAAAACTCTTATGACTTGTTGTCATATATGTTGACTAAATAATAAGTGTATGCTCATTCTCACTAATGTCAGCTAGTGCGCGCTATGTTCTGAGCAAAACTGCGTTCGTTCTATCTCAATCTAAATACTGATTTGCCTTCCCATCTTACTCTGCAATCTTTCGCATATACTTCTCATGCTTCACCATACAATCTTTGTCGTCACGACAATTCAAAGTGATGCACTATATACACTTTGAATAAGGACATGAGTACAGTATAATCTCGTTTTAGCTTTAGGTAGCATCGAACACAAAAAGCTTCGTTATACAAATATTGAAATCACGCTAAATTTTGAAATCACGGTGATACGATTTTCATTGATATCGCTATATCCATGTTCGTCTTATCAAGGTTTCGTATAGTATATAAAAGTGTATGTGCGTTTTCTCGTAATGTGCATCGCAGCCCATACACTTCCGCACGTACAAAGACAGCACGAGTGTGTTCTGCCTCAATCCACTCGCTAATTAACACTTATTTATTGCTGCTTTCTAGGCTACTGCGACAGGGACGGATACTGCAAACAGGAGTAAGAAGGGGAGCTCAGATCGGCGGCGTTCAAGTTGCTCGGCACTCTGAAGGCCGTAATGCTCAGCGCGAAGCTCAATAAACAGGTGTAAAGAAATATGTCCGCGACTGACTCACTCATCAGCTTGGCAGTTCTCGTTTTTAAGGTATTGCGTATATCGTATGGTAAGAAAAATGGCAGGTGTAACCTTAAGAAAGACAAGAAGAGAGCAGAGTGGATTAGGGAACAAACGGGGGTTAGGGATATCGTAGTTGAAATCAAGAAGAGGAAATAGACATTGGCAAGGCATGTAGCGCGTAGACAGGATAACCGCTGGTCATTAAGGGTAACTAACTAGATTCCCAGAGAAGGTAAGCGGGTTAGGGGGAGACAGAAGGTTATGTGGACAGATGAGATTAAGAAGTATGGGGGTATAAATTGTAAGCAGCAAGCACAGGACCGGGTTAACTGGCGGAACATGGGAGAGGCCTTTGTCCTGCAGGGTAAGTAGTCAGGCTAATGATGATGATGATGTTGATGTATATCGGCAAACCCTATTTTTGCTACACTCATTGAGTACTACGCAGATAATACAAAACTGCCTCCAGTGCCGCATAGGAACCTTACATCAATGTAATTTGTGGCGTTACACAGACTACAAACACATACACCAACTTACACAGGATGTACATGTACTCTACCCCACAACATACAGATGTATGTCCGCGGTGCGGGACCACACAAACTTCGTTTCACTTCGCCTGGGAGTGTACGTTATACACCATGAAAAACACCTACAGAACGAACAACACAGAGGAACCATGGGAGGCACTGCTGTCCAGCTTGGCCTTTGGCGAACAAGTTTGGTCGGTCCAATGGGCAGGGCGAGCGCATCCCTAAAGAAAAAAAGGGGGGGGGGGGGCGACCATTTTCAATGCAAAAATAAAGCTTTGTTCTCTCTCTGCTCGGCAAACACAATCACTCATGCCTGAATACACGTCACACACAATTCTTCGTGTGTGGATGCGTATTATATATGTGCTGTAAGTTTTGCGCCTCAGAAATTGTGCAAACCTCACTATACTCGCTCACCACTTGTCCAATAAAGCGTCGCGAAACGGTGGATGCAGCAACAGTATAAAAGTTACGCTAAAATCGTTCCCCAAGATATTGCACGGGACGCCCAGCGCAATCTGCACACCACACAAAGATTACGCATGTCGCACCGAAATGACGCATGCTGTCCAAACAGTAAACCTTAAAGGCGCGTACGTTACATTCAAAAGGGACATACCGTATAGCATATCTCTACATTTCCTTTACTTTCCGTGTCTTGAACTACCCTTTCATCAAAATTCAGTGTCAATTGTATGCCGGGTGTCACGCATCTACGCTAGTCATACACTTTCACGTGTGCAGTGGAATGGCTCCGTGATAAACCAATGATGGCTAGGGCTAGCCGGTAAGCGTACCGCTGTGTTATTTTTAATAAGATAGAATGCGCCAGTGAACAGTCATTCAGCACCACAAGGCCAAGCAATCTCACGAATGAATCATAATAGTTCATCACTGCCACAGAACACTATAGTACTACAGGCAAACACACATAGTCATCGCACCACGCGCATGCGTCGTTGAACTCGTCCCGATCAAACGAGCGGCGCCTTCTCGTCGTCATCGGCCCTTTCCCCGGACTCGTCTCCCGCCGCCGGCGCTAGCGTCTGGTCGTCACGCCTCGTGCCATCGTCGAACCACCGGAACACGAAGTCTGGCAACACGAAGCTCTTCTTCTCGTAAAGGTAGATGGCCACCATGAGCACGAGCAGCGAGACGACGTACGCGGGCGTGATGCGGAACTGGTCCGGGAACAGCGCGGCCGAGGCGAACGTGTTGAGCACGCTGGAAGTGGCGGACACGTGGTACTTGACCACGTTGTCGAGCCGCGTCACGACCAGCGCAACGCAGAGGCCGTTGGTGGCGCTGAACGCTATGGTGGCGATCAGGAAATGCAGCACGTGGCCGGTCAGGTCGTCTGCGCGAGGATAAAGGTGAGTGCGAGATGCTCAGGGAGGGCACATCAAACTAAGCAGGTTAGTTCATAGGTAATGCAGGGCATGTAGCGCGTAGACAGGATAACCGCTGGTCATTAAGGGTAACTAACTTGGATTGCAAGAAAAGGCAAGCGGGTTAGGGGGAGGCAGAAGTCTATAGATGAGATTAAGAAGTTTGCGGGTGTAAATTGGCTGCAGCAAGCACAGGAACGAGTTAACTGGCGGAACACGGGAGAGGCCTATGTCCTGCAGGGGACGTAGTCAGGCTGATGATGGTGATGATGAAACGCTGGTTGCCTTTCTGCCACCATGAAGTGAAACAACTTCATTGACGATCCGCCATGAAGGGGAAGGAGCAAGGAGAATTAAACCGAGACACTAGCGTGCTCGGACGTCCTTGAGCAGCGACCTACACTCGTCAAACCAGAGGGGTACGCCGCTTTCGGCCACTGGCCGTTCCAGTACGCCTAGCGCGTGCTGGACCACGTCTGTTTGGTTGCCTGGCTCTCGGATATAATGATCTTGCTGCTTATGGCAGTTGGCATGGGTTCTTTTCGCTTACACGGCGGTATCCCACAGTGCCAGAGAAGTGCCTCTGTGTGGCTCGCACCTTCTTGTAGTGTTAGCTTGATGATGATGATGATGAATACAGGTTCGAGCAGCGGAAGTGAGAACAATGGGCGGCATACAGCAACGTCTTGTCATCGCTTGGTCCCTCAGCCGCCACGGCTGACTGAGTGGTCGCCGTGCTCAGCTGTTGAACTAAAAACCCGATGTTCGGCCCCACCCGCGGCAGTCGCAATCTGACGGAGCTGAAATGCCAGTGGACGGACGCACGGAGTCACGGACGGACGGACGCTTCCTTCCACTAATCGTACTTCACTCCGTCGATATGCTGGGAATTTCCTATTTCACTTCCGCTGTTCAAACCACTATAGTACTTGTGCGCAAGTAGGATGCAATCTATCCCGAAGTGGATTGGTCTGTTCCCAAACGGGTCACCCGATGCGGCGTGTTATAGTGAACACATCACAACCAATAAAGAGGAACCATATGAGCAGCAGGCTTTTAACGCCCTGCGTTTTCCATTCAGGAAATGTAGCAGGCTTTTAGTACCACGCACATTCTACTACAGAGGCCATTTCGAGATTGAAAAAAACAACAACTAAGGAAACATACATCTAAGAAACATAAAAACAACTAAGCAAACGTAAAAAGGTGACATGACATACCATTTCGTTTATAGCCGTATGTGCGTTGTGTTTGTAGTTGACTTTTTATGTTGAATCATGTGCCAACTTTTGACATTGTTGCGGCAATTAATGCTCAGGCAATATGATATTACTTTGGCGCAGCGCAGTTTGAGCGTGAAGAAAAAATGCTGTACGTTCAAGAAGGAAAAAAAACGGCTGTGTGAGGGTTAACTTACAACTTTTAAGTGTGAATACACTTTATAAGCGACCCCAAATCATCCACCGCCGTCGGCGGCGTCCGCAGTCTTCTCTCTATCTTTAAAAAAAAGAGGACTTGGCGGGCCGCAGCGCGACGCTCTACCGAATAAGCCACGGACGCGACGCTGATATCGGTGTCAGTAACGCGCCTTATATCTTAAACGCCGCTCCCCCTCCCCCTTCGCTCGCTCCTCCGCTCTCCTCGCTCACTGCAGTTGCACGCGCACCCCTCTCTCTCGCGTGCCCGCCTTCTCTCTCAGTCTCCCGTCGAGAGCGGGTCGTGCGATGGATGTCCCGGAGGCAACGCTACCATCAACAACGAATGCAGTACAACCGAATGCCAGCACTGTACCCGTCGTTGGAGGTGACGGTACCGCGGTGGTTTCGCCGACGTTGGAAGACAAGGCGGCGCTGCGAAGGGCTCGTGAGACCGAACGTAAGCGGGCGAAGCGTGCAGCAGATGCCGAACTGCGTGCTCGCGAGGCCGAGTGCAAGCGGGCGAAGCGTGCAGCGGATGCCGAACTTCGCGCTCGCGAGGCCGAGGACAAGCGCGCGAAGCGTGCAGAGGATGCCGAACTTCGCGCTCGCGAGGCCGAGGACAAGCGGGCGAAGCGTGCAGTGGATGGTGAACTGCGCGCTCTCGAGGCCGAGATGAGGCGTCAGCATCGAGCCGCGAACGCGGCCCAAGAAACGGAACGACAACGCAAGCGTCAGGCGGAGAAGGGCGATGAAGGCTGGCGTCAAGACGCCGCGCGCAATCGTCAACGGCGAGTGGATGTTCCCGAAGCCGTTCCAGCCAGTGAACGTGCCGCGCGGGAGAGGGTGCGAGCCCTGGACTTTGCTCGTCCGGACGCGTCGTGAAGTGTAAATAAATAATACTTCGTATATAATGTATCTGTGTACAAATGCTTCATGACAAACAACACTTGAATTCATTTTTACACTTTAATCATCATCATCAGTAAAAAAACTCCCAAGCATTTCCCCGAGGGTGAACATGGCTAAGTGCGAATGCACGGGGTGAGGCTATGAGGGGGAGTAAAGTTAAAATCCGTTGGCATTCGCCAGTGAGTTAACGTAAACTCCCCCGTGTGATCAAATTGCGATTCCCAGGAACCATTACACCATAAAGGCACCATAGTGTGATTAATAAATATAATAGTGCGAATAAATAAATACCCCTCATAGCATCACCCCGAGCATTCGCACTTAACCATGTTCACCCTCGGGGAAATGCTTGGGAGTTTTTTGTTTATCGCGTGACCTATTGCGTGAACAAAAGTGGGAAGTTAGCACTCACAATGTCGTCTGTTTTTTTGCCCTTCTTCACTGTATATAATTTTTTCTTCACGCTCAAACTGAGCTGCGCTAAGGCACTCTCATTTTATCATGCACTAACTCACCCAGTCATCAGTCCTCAGGCAAAAAGTAGCGCAGTTAGCTGTAGTGAATACCCCGCTGCAATGGTCTAGTGGCTAAGGTACTCGGCTGCTGACCCGCAGTTCGCGAGATCGAATCCCGGCTGTCGGCAGCTGCATTTTCGATGGAGGCGAAAATGCCGTAGGCCCGTGTGCTCAGATTTGGTAGGCACGTTAAAGAACCCCAGGCGGTAAAAATTTCCAGAGCCCTCCACTATGGCGTCTGTGATAATCATGGCGTTTGGGAACGCCCCCACGCATCAATCATATATCAACCGGTAGTAAACAAAAGATAGCGGCGGTTTAGTGGTTGTTGCGCTCGATTACATTCGGAGCAGCGGTGGCGGTAGGGGACTGATTCAATCTTCGCAATCGCTACGTTTTGTTAGCTGAAAAATTGCGTAATTTGCGTGCTGATTTTGCTTCCGCAGCTTTGCGCTGACAGCGAGAATGAAAGAATGAGCCAAGTATGTAGTTCTCTCGCATTACAGCTGCTTTTGAAACGCCACTGTGTTCTCTGTTAGCCACCATTGAACGCTGTTGGACTGTGATTGGCTAAAACCTGGTCAAGCTCACTGGAGAAGTAAAAACAGCACAAAAATATAGACAAGGACAGAGGAAGAGACGACACCGCGCTGAAGCTTTTGTTTCCCATCTCTCCGATCTAACGTCATTAGACAGATAGACAGACAGATAGATAGATAGATAGATAGATAGATAGATAGATAGATAGATAGATAGATAGATAGATAGATAGATAGATAGATAGATAGATAGATAGATAGATAGATAGATAGATAGATAGATAGACAGACAGACAGACAGACAGACAGACAGACAGATAGATAGATAGATAGATAGATAGATAGATAGATAGATGAGGCTATGCGAGAACCCGAAGGTTCAAACTAACTGTTACCTGCGCTGATGAGTGCCTCCGCGGAGAACAGTGGTGCAATGCTGGAGATCACGGCCGTGCCGAAGTAGATCTGGCACTGCTGTTCCCAGATGGAGCGGCTGTCGTTCTTGAAGTAGTACTGCGATTGAACAGACAGAAACGTACATGCCATCGCCAAATAGAAAGGAGCACACCGCAGCTACACCAAAACAGCAGCTAATGCATAATCACTATAGTCATTAGAATGTGCAGATATGTGTCACGGCAGCTTTAAACGGCTTTCAGGATGTTTGGGAGGGGTCCCCTAGAGAGCCAGAAAGCACCTGTCACACTGATGTGCTATAGCGTATGTTTGTCGGCCCATTCATCTCCGCAGATATCATGGTGTCTCGGTATAAATGATCCCACAAGGTAATATCGTTGGTCTTAAGGGTCAGCTAAGCAATGTCAATACACCATATAATCTCGTTCAACAAAGTAGCATTAAACAGGAAATTGAGTCTGTTATATTTATTCTTAATTATAAAAATATATCTGAGGTTTTACGTCCAAGATCCACGATACAAATACGAGAGACGCTGCAGTGAAGGGCTCCGAAATTTTCGACCATCTGGTGTGCTTTAATGCGCATCGACATCGCACGATACATGGACCTCTACCGTTTCGCCTCCATCAAAATGCCGCCGGGATCGAACCCACGACCTTGAGGTCAGCATATTAATTATAAGTGCGTGCGATTTACTGCACTAGTGACGTGACCATTCTTCATTTCCACAGTTATATTCGATCAATTGCTCTACCAGTATTTTATGAATGAATAACTATATCTAGATTATATATGAAGTTGTACAACACATTTAATTGTATAATATATTGTATAATATCGTATAGCACCATGTAACACTCGTGAAAATTTTACGCTATAACCTGCATGTTCCTGAACAACCGAATGACAGTAGTGGCCTTCGGTGCATTGAAACTTCTTTAACCCAGTTTTTATGGGTATGCCACGTACACTGGAAGCCGTATAAAGCTTCTCTTAATGGCGTTTGTGTTTAAGCTCCGCAAAACTAGATCGTCTGCACAAAACTGGGTGGACATGCACTAAAGTATGTGCCAAGAAGCTCCTAGCATAGCATAGCCATGCCTATGAGGGGTGAGGCTAAGCACAACCAAGTATGGTATGCTATAGCAAGGGGTGAGGAATGCAATTGATAGTGAAGAGGACAGAAAGGAGGAGGGGAGAGGTGAAAGCATTGAATATTCATAGTCGTGCATGGTGTAGTATAGCAATGGTTCGGGAAATGTGAGTGATGTTGAAAAATAGGGAAAGGAGAAGGTGAAACGGTAAAACATAGCATAGCTATGGATACCATAGTACAGACAATTTTACATAAGACATATGGGTGCCACCATCTTGGGCTGTTAAGTCGGTGTTTTCTCGCTTTTGTATGTTGCAATGTGAGTTGATAAGGCCATGAAACATTGTACGCATCAACTCAACTATTTTCATGCGTATGCGTCTATCGTAATACTGCCCGTTTAGTTGCTAGAGATTCACAACACAAAGGTCAACGGCTCAACATGGCGGCACTTAGACCCCTTCGTAAAGTAGTGTAAAAAAGGAAGTTAGGGTTAGCGGCAGAGAAGGCCATCAGCTCCGCTGTTTCCTCGGGTCTTTGCATCGCTATACAGTGTGTAGCTTCCCCAATGTTTTGTATATTGTATTGTGAGGTCAGCTGTACCTCCGTGTAGACGGCCACCATAGTGGAGAGAGTCCCGCAGAGAAGTGCCAGAGCCAGTGCTGTTACTACTGACGAGGAGTGTGCATGGCCGGCCAGCACGTCTGCCTGGCTTCCCACCACGGCGGCCGCAATGAGCGCACCAGCGGTCCACTGCGCACGGGTGACGTGCCTTCCGAACGGGTACCTGCAAGCGACACGGGAGAGGAGACTGAACGTGCAATGCACGGCTCATTGTAAAGGTATGTTACTACGTCATTGCGACAGCACTATCAGTGTTATGCCTAATGCTTCATGGGTGAAACGGCAGCACTTCATATAGGCTGCCTCTTAAGGAGCTAAATTGTCAGTCCCGGCAATTTAAGAATGTTGGCAGCCTAAGATATGTGGTTTAGAAAGATTCACTTCATTTTGCTGTGCTACAGTATTCACCCATGATTCGCGTATTTGTGCCTGAAAAGTTTTGCCTAGAGCTGTTAATGAGAAAGCTTTAATGCCTCATCACACCCGAAAAGTGGGCGTGGGTGTCAACGCCAATCGCTGCAGAAACTCATGCCAGGACTTCGGCGCACTGCCTCATCGTGACGTTTAAGGTCATTAAAAATTTATGGCGCCATGTTGAAATTTGTCGTGTACTCTTGGCGTCATCATGACGTTTTATATAATGTGATGTGGCATGACGTCATTGCTGGATAACGTCGATTGGTCCGAGGTGAGACGCGCCACGGTGGTCTATAAGTGCTTGCTGTGCTAGACCCGAAGGTCGCAGGTTCGAATGCGGATCGCGACGGCTCTACGCTGTAGACGGAGGCGAAAATGGTTTATGCGCACGTTAAAGAAAAAGCAGGTGGTTGAAATTTCTTGATCCCTACACCACGGGGTTTAATAACCTAGTTTTGGGACATCATGCTCTAACAATTATTATCGATCACAAGTGAACCGATACTGGAGGCTTTGCAAAACCACGTGAGGTGAAGCAAGCGTCCGATGCCCCCGTTCTCGGAGGCAGTATGTTGGATGCAGAAAGAGTTCGAGGGGGATCAACGCGATCGACTGAGAAGGAAAAGATAACTTTCCCCATGGAGTGACCTTCGGCAAATTCATTAGGGACCATGTGGTTTTTTTTTTATTCCATTGACGCGAAACTAATTTCGGTTGTTCCGAACTCTCATACAACGATATTTATATGATCTAACGGCACGATTTGTTCACCTTCTTATCCTTCCAGATAAAAAAAATGTAGGTCTATAAAACGTCGCATGCAGGCTCACTTGTAGACGAACAGCGTGAGGAAGATCCTGCACTGGACGAACACGAGCCAGACGGCGGGCGTGACGTAGTGCAGCGCGTAGAAGAATATGTTGTTCGTGAGCATGTAGATGACCGAGGGCAGCAGGAACTTGTACGAAGGGCGCATGCGCAGAGATCCACTCGTGGCCACGTGCATGACGGTCACGAGAACGCACTTGAGGGCCTCGGTCAGCGCCACCATCAGCGACTGGTTCATCGGGTACGAACCTGCGGCACAAGTAGACAAGAGGCGATTAGCTGCCGCGCTTCGGTCGTACTGACAGGTACTCTCTGAATTTAACTTTTATATAGCCGACCATAAGCAAATTCGTAGTTGCTGTGTATGGGTCCCAAAAGGAGCCAAGTAGAATAAGTCTTTAGTTTAGGAGATTCATTTCGCCGGACCTCGATATTGAATTACTCTGCCGTGAAGGACTTACCGTGGTTATGATAGCGCAGCGAGTAGCTGCACACCATCTTGCTGACATCAGTGAACGTCGAAGCCGCGAACAGCACCAGCACCACGGGCAGGGGCGTCTGCTCGCGGCGCTCCAAGGACGACTTCGGCGAGCCGGTCTCGCCCTGCGGCGACTGCGAGTGAGAGTATTTATCAGAGAACTGCTGCAGTAGCAAAGTAGTGGAATTGGAGGAGGGATAGTGATTTCAAAAGAGGGAATGAAGAGAAAAGTGAACCCCGCCACTGTCTGCATCAAGTGCGACAGCTCAGTGTGCGTCGGTTTCAAGGGAAGGTATGAGAGAATAGGAGATATAATGAGAACGATAAGGATTGCGAGACTGTTAGAGAATTAAGTCCGCGGATGGGGCCCCGATCAGCGAGTGGTCGTCGAAGAGAGCACATTGCGATCGGGACAACGGTCAGCCATGAAATCCGCCAAGTGTCTCCAGTATTGGAGTGTCTGGTCAGCTACCCTGTGGTTTGGCGGGTAAAGAGTGAGTGGTAGGGTCTCTAAGGCTTTTGGTAATAACCAAGAAGGTTTTGAAAACAGCAGGGGAAATTATGTCGCGAAATTGAAGCCAGACCTCAGCAATCGCACTCCAGGCATGGCGTGTTTAGAAGAAATAGTAGACAATTGAGAGGCCTGTGTACTCTACTATGGAAGAGCCCAGGCCGGCCCTCTGGCAACCTGACAGCTATACATCTATATAGAACGTTAGCGTACAGCGAAGAAAGGGCAGCGTTTTTCGAACACTCCCAACAACTGAGAAGCGTGGACGTGTAGGTGGTGGTTGTGATGTTGCAAAGGAGTTAGCTTGCCCTAAAAGACCGGCAAATGTCCCGCCTGAGCACCTATTAAATAAAGGGGTAAGCCACAAAATGTTACTTAGCCTAGTGTCTCGCAGGAAAGTCATCACGATACGTTGCACGCTCTTCCTCGTCGCCATGGGTCCTTCAAGAAAAATGACATCTGCCAATGACCCATGCTTGTGACAACCTTTCTGCAAGCTGCGTAGCATCTCTGTTCTTTCTCTTTCAAACTGCGTTCACAGCCAAATGAAATGCTCGATGTCACCGGTGTCACCACAAAGGCACGAAACGGGGAAGCACCTCGCCCAGTCTCGAATGATCAAGCCGGCGTGTATACAGAGTCAGTTCTTATCCGATAAAGCAGCGCTGCTTGTTCTCTGGAAAGTCCGTGAATTACGCATGACTGACGCGGAAACTTGTGGATCACCCTGAAGTGATCGCGTTTAACATTCTTGTTGTTCTGGTAAGTTCTAGGAGCTCTTAGTTTTTGGAACGCAAGTTCGCGTTTCGCGTGCAAGGGCATCAGCGTTTTAATCGCCTTCAATTTCAACGTCAGATGGGCTCCACTGATATTTTACATTGAAGCTCTTGCCGATCAGGTGTTTAATGAGCGCCAGAGGTTGTCTCGTGAATTTTGTTTGAGGTATCTCTCGATGCAGTCGCTGTAACGCCAACTGTGAATCAGTCAGCCCTATACCACATCTTGTGCAGAAAGCGTTTGCAATTTTCGCAAAGCCGCGGTAAGTGCTACTCTTTCTATGGTTGTGGACGACACAACACGATCCAGGTGGCCCGATCATGACACGCCCAACGAGGGTGTGCAGAAAGCCGCTGCGCAGCTATCCGTCTGTGTGCACACCAATCCATCAGTGTAAATTTGTAGGTGACCACGGTACATGGTGCTCAAATGGTCCAACACCAGAAACTTTGCTTCCTCAGCTAAAACAGTTCGTTTCGTCGGCAGTTGAGGGACCCTGAAGTTACATGCAGCGTCCACAAAGAACCATGGTGGGTCTATAGGGCCCCGATGAGGCGATTTCAAGCCTAAATGTCGAAATGTTCTCAGCGCTGCGTGAAAATGTGAGCCAGGTCTTGCTTTTAGCCGCCGGAGAAGGGCCGTCCTTGTGGAGGACTCTCCCAGTCTTGATTGCTGCGCCAACAGAGCCTGAGACGCCAGGAAGCGGTATGGTAGAGACTGATTGGTTTCATCGCTGATCTTCTTGTTTGATGTCGCCTGAGGGACTCCCATCGCAAGTCGAAGACCCTTTCTGTGCACTGCCTCAAAGCGTTCAAACTGGCTCGGTGATGGCGATATCAGTGGGAGCTGGTAAGGAATGCGGCTTGTTATGAGCACAGAATTCAGCTTAAGCATCGACATAGGATCGTTGCCTCAGCGTACACCTGCCATGCGACGATGAGCGTTGAGTCTCTGCATGGATGTGGCCACAATACCATCAACTGCTCGTCGCCATAGTAACTTGTCATTGATGGTAACGCCCAGGAAACGCACGCTTGTCGCACGACGAATGGAATGGCCTCTGACACTCAGCGAAATTTGCGTTGACTTTCGTTGCACGCGTTAGGCAAACTATAAACAGGGCTTTGTATCGCGTTACAGATATGTTTCGAAGATCAGTGCGTCAGTACAACGGATGTACATAAACAACAGAAAGCGGAAATACTAGTAGCATAAGAAAATGAAATATCACGCCACCCTACAAAACACATGCTGTCGAGGCGAGAAATGTTTTTATACATTCTTTTGATCTTCCTAAGCCTATCTCTCCAAATTATCATGTCTTTCTGTTTGTTCAGAACTTCTATAGCTCGATAGGATAATAATTGCTTCCCGTAATTTGTCCTAATCTTCGGCAGCCTCTTTGTCTGCTGTGTCTAAACACGTACTGAGGTCCAGCTACCATGGCAATATCTCTATACATGCCTGTCATGTGAATATGCTGCTTTAGTTTATAAAGGTAAACTTTATCAGCCATGAGCATGTCACGTCACATAAATAATTCCCGGGTGCGTAAATTTCCTATATAATTTTCAAAAATACGTAGCACCTGTTTTTGTAGTACCGTTACTCTACTATGACTACGTTGAGTGGTAGTACCCCATACTATAGTCAGCAATAGGCAATCTTCGAGTAGACTAAAGTGTAATAAAGAGTATTTTTCAGGCGAAGAAGTATTAAGTATAATGTAGAAACTATAGAATAATATACATATACCACTGACATGCGACACAATTAGGAATAACATGAATAATCCTTTTTATTTATGTTGTACTTAGTACAATCACCACTCCGCTCAGTAATAATATTTAGAGCCTGCTTAACCATATAAAGATTGACGGATCACGCCGCCATAGGAATCGTGTAACACGAAAGTAAAAAAAAATATCACAGCATATTCACGGAGTGAATGATGCTGAGTTGGCAGATATGTTGCAATTTGCATATATATATATATATATATATATATATATATATATATATATATATATATATATATATATATATATATATATATATATATATATATATATATATATATATATATATATATATATATATATATATATATATATATATATATATATATAAGCGAAAGAGGTGTACACTTAAGGGCTCGTTTTTCCGGTGTTTTTGACACAATAATAATGAAATATAACAGAAGACAATAATGCCAAGGAAAGTATAGGGGAGGTTATTATTAGACCGAATTGTAAGGTAAATGTGAAAAAAGAAAAGTGGGCAAAAAGATGATTTGCCGTGGGCAAGAACCGAACCTGCGACCTTCGAATAACGCGTTCGAAGCTCTACCACTGAGCTACCACGGCGGCTATCTTCCCAGCCACTTTATTGGGTATATATGTGAATGTAAACGTGGGAGTGTCACTCAGCGTCATCTGTAGCCATGGCGGCGAGTGTGGTACGCTCTTTATGAGCCTGTGTGGCGTCACGTAGCACGTGATGCCACACGGGTTCATAAAGATGACATCAACAAGCCCGTAAGCTTTGGTACTCTGAGCCTCTTGAAAGCTTTGTTGATGAGGAGAGGAACGGCATGACGTGCGCTCCACAGCGATGAGGTATATCTACGTCCTTGCTCGTGCGTACAATAGTACACTATACACTTCAGCGACACGGGAGGCCGAAGTGTGGGTTTGAGGTAGTAGTTGATCAGGGAGTACTTATGACAAGCAAGTATAGTTGATCAGGAGGGCAGAGGTTCGTAGTTCGAGCAGCGAACGAGCGCAGGCGTTCGACGTTCCTTTGGCCCTAATTTCGCTCCACCAAGGCACCACCTGTGTCCGCGTTAACGTCATTGCCTTTCGCTACTCACTTTCCACGAGATCATGACTCATTATCATCTATCTCGGAGGACTTTTCCCCTTCCTCATCCTAAACTTACGCGACCGCAATCATCGGCCTACAGGATGCTCCAAACGGGGTCTTTCCCTTCGCGTGGCAGGTTCAGCCATTTTTCGCCCAACATCGAGCCGCATTGTCCAGACTGCGGTGAGGCGTATTGCTCATTACCTCATATGCTCTGGCAATGTCCTGCGTTACGTGACGCAGAGTTCAACAAAGAAAAGGACTGGGAGGAAGCCCTTCACAGCGGCGACCTCCTGGTTCAACTTCGGGCTGTCCAGAGGGCCTGCGAGAGGGCGGAGGGCCACGGTCTTCCGGTCCCTACGTGGCAGCGGCCCGCGACTGCTACGGATTCCCCTAAACGGGGCCGTTACAACGCAGTTCCTCAGGACCTGTTTACTAGTCGGCGCTATCACACTCGAAGTAGTCGGCGGTGAAACGCCGTTTAAACATTTGTAAGCTCAGTACCGAACGCCCGGTAGATTTTGTGGCGGAGGGTTTTTCGATATCGCACCCCGGTGCGCAATCTCGAACGCCATGCTTCAGCTGCGTCGGTGACGAACAATCTATCGGTGCTGGTAAGTGTCGTGCGTTACTTCTCTTTATCGACCACAGACGGCGGCACCACCTTACCCCGCTGGCTGAGAGCACCGAGCAAGAGATGTGCGAGAGTAATAGAGGGCACGCTTGTAAGGGTTGTTTCACCTGCTTCGATGGCTTAGTCGACAGAGTGTCGGGCGCACGCCGTCGCGGCCGAGGAGTCAGATGTTCGAATCTGGACGGGGGAACATTTGTCTGAAACATGGTTGAAAGTTTCTTTTTTTTTCTTTCTGGTTTCTTGCTGTCCACTCTATCAACGTCATATCCGTGACGGAAATACGTCATTTTAGTCTTTGTGCGCCTCGGCATAATACACATTCGAGAATAAAAAAAAAAACGTAATATACTTCACGAGGTGACAGTGCTATTGAAGGAGTACCGACGCACGTGCTATTAAACTTTCTGGTGAAGTCTGCTACGCGATTACGCATGTCAATTGTGAATTATGCTTAGCCAACACCTCGCTTTTGTGAAATCGGACACAAACCACAATCATGACAATGGATGCCCAAAAGGTCTTAGACCGTGAAAACATGATTCAAAGCCGTTCGACCGCACGTGCGTTATTACTCTTTCAATATCGTTTTCATCTCTTGAAATACCGTGCTAAACAGACCTGAACGACACACACTGTGTGCAGTACAAAACTAAGTAAAAATTCACATCATATCAGTCGAGTGAAGGATGATGAGTGGAGCGAAGCGTTCGCCCGTCCGTCCGTCCGTATGCCTACCTGCCTGTCTGTTTTCTGTCTGTCTGTCTGTCTGTCTGGCGACGAGCACGAGCCGCCGCGGTTTTGCGCACCCGCCTCTCCACTTCGTCCACGCACGGCGACAACCCAGGCGACTGACAGAGGAACTCGTAAGTCGTTCCCCGCGCACTCAGGCACAGTCCGCACAGTAGCGGTACAGTGCCATCTAGAACATCCTCACTCAACTGCAGCTTGTATGTTCTTCTATGAGACAGCGCCATCTATTATACTGTTCGGGAGATACTGCCGGTTACGCCCGACGCGGGACGAGGTCAGACTAAAAGAAGCTTTGCTGCTTAACTTATTCATTTTTTTTCAGATAGAGCGCATGACAGCAGCATATCATTCTCGTCCAATGAATAAAGTGTCGTGAGCGAACTTTGTTGGTGCATTGTCCTTTCTTGTAGCCGTGTTCTTTTGCGCTGTGTTCCTACCAACTGCCTACGAGTTTATTGTAGCTAACTTTTACTACCGTATACTCCTCAACCGGCGTAACGGAGTTCCCGATTTCTTTAAGGAACATAAAAACCTTATGAAATTTTTTAAGGCATCGCGTTATCAAAACTCATCCGGATAAATGATTTTCGTCAGGGATAGAGTTATTTTAATTTGCCTAGTACCTATGTTGGCGCAACAAACACTGTCAGACTAGTAAAGTGCTCCATGCAGATGTTGGCATGACATTTTCTGTTGAGGCGTTGCGATTGAGTTGCGATGGCTTCCGGCCCATATTTCTGTTTCTAAGCACCCTCCGTAGCATCCCAGCCAATCAGAGCTGACTTGTACCATAGCGTACTTGTCTCAACTTGAGCTAGCTTCCGACAGCTAGAGCTGCAGCAAACCATTGCAGTCTAATCAGGTCTGCGTCAGCCGCGCATTCTAGCGCATACTAAGAAGCTGTTTTCCTGAACTCGTCAGCATTTGTGTAACCAGCGCTGCAGTGCCACATTTCGCAACGCTGCTGTGCTGACGTGTGCGCTCTATCAAAATGAGCAGCTTACCTTATCCTGACCTTCCATGAAGAGTTCGCGCTTAATTGAACTCCGTGTCCTTGTAGATAATGAAGCACTGGAGCTAAGCATGGCCCTCCGGTTTATTTCTCAGAACGTGCGACCCAAAAAATTATGTTGATGATAGTTGCTCTCGTTTTCGAATAAACAAACCCACTATAAGGCACTAGGAACTGTATTAAAAATGATAAAAATGGTTATGTTTAATAATCAATATCACTATATTGTATAGGAAAACACGCAAACCAAAAAAAGATGCATCATGTACAATAGTGTGCAAGAGCATTTAGTCAAAATTTCGTAAACATGAAACGTCTTACGCAAATTCAACATCTTTCTTCTCATACCTATTCCTAAGGCGCGCGCAGTCACGGCGAGGTATTATTCTCGGGAATGCATGCTCATAACAATGAAAACATCTGCTACTCTTTATTTTTGGAATAAAATGTAGACGAAGTTCGTAAAGATGACGAGATACAAAGGGCGCCTTACGCTTCAGTGTAAGTACACGAGCAAGAAAGAAACGACTATAAAATACACGGCGCTTTCGAGAGCATTACAAAACGGCTAGGCACACGCGATGTGGCTATTTAGACCTGAACTGCAAAGATGGCTGGCCGACGTGAGCGACAAAGAACTCGCGGGGTTCCTTACGCAATCGACTAAGACGTCTCGCAAGCAAAAGCGGAGGACACCTATATGTGTGTTTATAAAAAGTGGGTAACAATTTTGAGTACTTGGTACTCTACTATGGCAGACCGTGTGTTTAGAAAGAGTGTTTAACAATTTAGAGTTCTAGATACTCTACTATGGGAGAGCATAGAGCCGTCCTCACAGCAAGAAGGTCGCTGCAGTGGTGTCAGCATAACCGAACTGTGTACGAAAATTTATTGTCACAGACGTCAATACCATTTCAACAAAACATTTTCTTCTTAGACATACAATAATGTTGATGACAAAACAGACTTAATTTACATGAGCGCGGATATGAGATGACGTGGAAAGAACATGTACGTTCGATGGTTCACACAAGCACAGCCACACAAAATTGTGTTTAAAAAAAAGGAGTAACGATTTAGAGTACTTCGTACCCTACTTTGGGAGAGCATAAAGCCATTCCGTGGGTGAAAAGCTAAAACCAAGGAGGCTACGCCCAGCGAGTTTAAAATTGTGTGTTTAGAAAAAAAATGGTTAACGATTTTGAGTACTTGGTACTCAACTATGGGAGAGCAGTACGCCGTCCCGTGACACCTTAAGATGACAGGGTGTAACCGTTGTTTAGAAAAAATGTTTAACGACTTTGAGTACTTGGTACTCAACTTTTTTTTGTGTTTAGAAAAAGTGGGTAACGATTTGGAGTACTAGGCACTCTACTAGTTTTTGTGTTTAGAAAAAGTGGTTAACGATTCAGAGTAGTAAGTTAAAATTCCGTTTGATTTTTATTAAGTTTGTGACGTCCCATACTCTTTGGGTTCGTCCGGGCTCAATTATCATATGATACAGACCAACAATCACGTCGCTAGTTTCATTCCGGAAAATTTAACGTCCCGGTAAACTTCGTTCGGTATTCTGACATAGTTGCTCAGCCAAACATTGTAGTATTGACATTCACGAAGAGCCTTCAAATAATAATATGTGCAGTGCTTATATTTCCTGAAAAAGGGTATTTTTGGGTTAGAGCGGAAACCAGGTAGCGCTACTGTCTTTCACAGGAGAAGGGCAGGCAAGCGATGCCACTGAAAACGGTTTGGAGAAGCACCCCAAGAATGTGGATTGTCCCGATAACAAACGATCACACACACACACACACACACACACACACACACACACACACACACACACACACACACACATATATATATATATATATATATATATATATATATATATATATATATATATATATATATATATATATATATATATATATATATCGGTGTTTCAGAATGTGATGATTAGATTACGTGATAACGTTGTAATTTTTTTCATCACTTGTGTTCGCGCCAACGGTCACTTTCCTCGTTCGATGATGCACTTAAGGCTCTTCCCCTAGAATGTTCTATCAACGCCTAGCACACGTTCACTGAGATACCTAATTGGTTTATGAGAGCGAAACAGCTGTTCCCACGACGAAATGCTCGGCCGTAAAAAAAGTGGGCCGTTCTCAGCGTAGCCGATATTCCACGCAGCACTCGCACAGGAAAGACTGCGTCCTTTGAAAAAAACTTGCCTCTCTGGCGTGGAGTCCTTTGTGGCATGTCATCGCAGCTGCGGCGCCACTTGATTCCTCCGAGAGTCACTTTGAGAAAGCTAAAATTCGAGGGACATCGTGCAGCACGATGGAGGCGCGAGTGCGAACACGTGTAGTGCAGTCGAGTTGTGTCACGTATACCACTCACCTTGTTCCTGCAGGGTAGGGCGTTCGCGGCTCGCACACTCGGCTTTCCGGTCGCGACGGCGCATTGACAGTCATTGTTGCGGCGCTCTAGGCTCGGAGGCATTGTGCGGGGCTCTTTGATTGTTGTTGGTGTTTGCGTCGCATTTTGTTGGTGATAGGAATATTTTAACCCTTCATCGTTGCTACAACGCGTTGCGTAGTGCAATAACGGATATATAAGTGGCACTGCTGCCCCTTGTCGAGAGAGTACGATCGCAACGAAATGGATCAATGCTTGTTTTGACAAGTGCGTTCTGTTTCGAGCTCCCCGCAACCCGTGATGTGTCGGCTGTGGCTCTTCAATTTCTTTTTGAACGGAAGTGAACTTGGTCCCGCAAGGGTTGTTGGCCGTGTAGGCGAGACTACAATAGAAGATAGATAGATAGATAGATAGATAGAGAGAGAGAGAGAGAGAGAGAGAGAGAGAGAGAGAGAGAGAGAGAGAGAGAGAGAGAGAGAGAGAGAGAGAGACCGTGACCGCAATGCAATCCGACACGTTGAAGGCGCGCCGATGGCATACGTATATCTACACGCCGTTTTTTTTTTTTTACATTTTTTCAGTAATTGTTTCTTTCTCGATCGTCGATAAGCTGTTTCTGACACGACCTATTGCTCTTTTACGGAGGCAAATTGTCATTTAACGTGATCGCACTTCATTTTCGCCCGGATACGAACGCGTGGCCGACGTAGATGAAGGTCCGATTCCCTGCGCGGGAGAGGGAAACAGTACGGAACGGAGAACTTTGCGATGCGATTGAGCGAAAGAAAGACAAAATGAAGGAAAGAAAGAGAGAAAGAAACAGAGAAGGAATTAAGAAATAAAAAAAAGAAGTGAAGAAAAAAATGTACCACACCTGGCTTGCGCACGCCAAGTTTCGTTTCCGCCTATTTTCCTGATAGGGCAAGGAGTCTTTTTTTTTTTTTTGCGCTGATTTTGTTGACATCGTCCCGGTGTGGCGTCCAAGATTGTGCATACTATAGAGAACTAAAGTAGTTAAAGTAAAGTAAACTAAAAGTGAACTTAAGTGAGCTAAAGTAAAGGCGGAGAACAGAACGGGACAGAGTTCAAGGCCACCCGCGCCGCATGCGAACGTTCTGGTATACCAAAATTCTCAGCTCTATACATCAAAGACCGTGGCCTAGTCGATCGCTGCTGATGCCTGTATAAATTGTATGTATGCCCTACTTAAAAACGCATTAAAAGGCAAATGAGCATACCTGAAGCCAGCTTTGCCTTTTTCCTGCGTTGTACTTCATACTTCACGGGGAATCAAAGTTTGGGAAAGAAAAATGACAAGTATAACGCGAAGTTGAACTCAAGGGCCGCAGGACACACACATCTCATACTAGTCACCGTCAGGCATCGCCATTACGACAACGAAAAAACCGTTGTTCTTCACAAGTACAGTCCACTTCTGAAAACAATGACCCTTGAACACCGTTACGTTGAAAGGCGACCAGCTCCTACAACTGTTCCTCGCCCTGCCAAAGGAACCACAGCTGCCGAGGGCTGCCGACTCGCTCGGGCAATAATGTAAACAAGTCGGACATGACAGATGAGCACGGCCGATGCTGGCTTCCGGACTTTCACATTCGTCAGCGAGCAGGATCTGTCAGATGAGGCGGCCGCAGAGCATTTTATTTATTTATTTATTTATTTATTTATTTATTTATTTATTTATTTATTTATTTATTTATTTATTTATTTATTTACAAAGTACTGCTAGCCTCTAGATGAGGGTATAAGCAGGAGTGGAAGTAACAACATCGAAGTGCTCAAATCAAAGTATAACAGTCTTGTCACAGGAGTATTTATTTATTTATTTATTTATTTATTTATTTATTTATTTATTTATTTATTTATTTATTTATTTATTTACACAGTACTGCTAGCCTATAGATGAGGGTATAAGCAGGAGTGGGAGTAACAAAAGCGAAGTGCACAAATCAAGGTACAACGATCTTGTCACAAGAACAAGGGGAAAAAAATAGAAAAGAAAGAGCACTCCAGAATAGCAAGATACAAACCGTGTAAGCAACTTTTCATGCACTGGTATGCGCGAAGTGATTGCAGAAAGATATGACAGTACTTCCTTTAAAGAATTTGTAAGTATGTACAAAAAAATTGTTTTCTGCGTACATGCCCTCGGCGTCACATGAAACACGAGAAGTGGAACGCGTGTCTTAAGCATTAAATAAGGTGTGTGTATAGTGTGCCTAGTCTATAGTCACATCGCAGACGTGTCCGCTTCGCACATCCGGTCTGGCACCACTGCACGATTTCCTTATAGACCCATTCCATGTTTGTAAACACAGGTAAGCCGATGCTGGCATTACGGGTAAACTTCCGCACGGGTAAATTTCCGCACGGGTAAACTTCCGCACGGGTAAACTTCCGACGTCCGCACGTAACTTCCGCCATAAGCGCTGAGGGCAGCGATGTGCGCCAACAAAACGACGTTGTGAGACACCATAAGCGTTGTGAAAGCAATAAGCGCTGAGGGCTGCGATGTGCGCCAACAAACAAAGCCAAGTTGTGAGACGCTACTCACATCCAAACGCGACGCAGCTCGTTGGCATAGTCTTTTTCTTTTTTTCCCGTCGCTTGACTGAGAACACCACACACATGCAACATTTAAAACCCAGCAGAAACTGCGGTAGGCATCAAGATTCTTCAAAGGTTTTTCGAAGATTGCGGAACCACTGACCCGACTGACGAAAGAAGACACGCCTTTCGCCTGGACAAGCGAGCAAAAAGACGCGTTCAATGAGCTACGACAGCGACTCCTAAACCACCCCGTCCTGGCACAGCAGCCTACCGCCGTTTCTGCTGGGTTTTCAATGGTGCATGGACAGCGTTTTAGATGCGGAGCATCTTATACTCGCGCCTTGTAGTGCGCCGTCCGCGCCGTCCGCACCGCTTCTCGAACATTCGACAGCTGACGCGCGCGCATGCGCCGTCGCGCCGTCGCCCACTCTTCCACCATCTGTGCATCCCTTCCTCCTCTACACACCGCGCGCGCTTCACTCCTCCACCATCTGTGCACCCTTCCTCCTCTACACACCGCGTTCGACATCTACAATTCTCCTGATTCTCCAGTGGACGCGCATGTGGCGTCGCGCTTCGAGAACATTCAACAGCTGACAGTGCATGCGCCGTCGTGCTGTATATATACTCAAGGTCGGCGCTCGCTCGCTCAGTTGCCGCTCGTCGGTTGGTTTGTACGGCGCGTCGACGTCCAAGGTCGCGGTGAAATGAATTCCAACGAATCCACAAACACAATGATCGACGTCCCTTCGACCAGCGCCGCCCTTTCGCATACGTGTGTACGTGTTCACTCATTTAACACCCCCTCCTACAACCACGTTAACCAATTTAGCCATCGACCCAAGTAAGTCGCAATTCAACACCCCATTTCACAACCACGTTAACCAATTTAGCCATCGACCCAAGTAAGTCGCACTTTAACACCCCGTTAACCAATTATATGGTCCGCATCCTCCTCAGTGTTCCCCCGAGGGAAGCTGCGGGCAATTTTTTCCCCCTCTTTCCTCTTTTCGAAGCCACTTGTGTGAACTGTGGTAGGCAGAGCATCTTTTGCCTACCAAGACTGCGCCACCGCATTTTCGTGACGTAAGTTTGGTGGAATTTGTCTATAGAGTCTGATATGTTGACCTCTGTTTTTTTTCTTTTAGTTTTGATATTGGAAACGAAAGCTACAAAAATAAGAAAAAAAATGAAACACAAAGAGCTTTCGCCACGCCCACTCCAGATCCTATAATCCAAATATCCAAACCACAACGCAAGCGGAAGAATATTGCATTACGGGGCATCGCGCAGTGGTGCCAAACCGCCTGAGCGCACTCTGCCTTTGCTTGGGCCGAGCTCCGCTGTTTGCGTTTGATTTGACGCCAGTAGTACGTACGGTGACTTGTTTAACTCTTTCAAGCTAGTTCAGATTAAATATGTGCAATCTAAGCAACAGATTTGCACTAATTCAGATGCGCGTGAGCGTGGTAGTCGGGGAAAATGAACAAGAAAAGGGTGGTCAGCGAGAGTCGGTCGGTGATGTGGCTGAAAAGTGAATATCGTTTCTGAAATTATTTATTTATTACTGAAGATTATTTCGATGCCATAGAATAGTACCCCATAGCAAAAAATTCAAAAGTTTCATGTGTAACTAAAATAAGCGCCTTATCTCGATCACCAGGGTGGGATAAGCTATCAGAGCCAATAACGGGAACAGAATGACCACTTCTTCTGTCTTCATTATATATATATATATATATATATATATATATATATATATATATATATATATAATATATATATATATATATATATATATATATATATATACACGCTTTATTTGAAGAGAGGCGACGGAGCAAACCGAAGGGTGATCCGGTACGTCGTCACGTCACGTGAACTGAGTGACGCGAGTTAGTCTGCGTAAACGCACCGTAAGTTACGGCAGCGTTGATATATAGTGCACCTACCTAGATGTACGGGTAGTGTCGTGCGATCGCCCCGCCGCGGTGGTCTAGTGGCTAAGGTACTCGGCTGCTGACCCGCAGGGCGCGGGTTCGAATCCCGGCTGCGGCGGCTGCATTTCCGATGGAGGCGGAAATGTTGTAGGCCCGTGTGCTCAGATTTGGGTGCACGTTAAAGAACCCCAGGTGGTCTAAATTTCCGGAGCCCTCCACTACGGCGTCTCTCATAATCATATAGTGGTTTTGGGACGTTAAACCCCACATATCAATCAATCAATCAGTGTCGTGCGATCGGACAGGCGTTGCAGCTGTTTGAAAGACGCGTTTTCTTCTTGTGCTTGCTTTGTAAACGGGGCAAACGGCACGCCCGCACGCCATTCAGAGATGTTGTACCACGGTTTTCTCATAGGCGTGCGCAGGGTTCTCCGTTAAAGGGACCCGCAGCACTTTTAATGCGATAGCAATTATATGGACACTAGGCTGGATTTTCCCGCCGGCGTCATTCACCGTATACGTGTCTGTATATATGAAAACGCAAGAAAGAAAAATAATTCAGAATAAGACTTAGGC